AACTTTGTAAATAAATTCTTGAAAACTTCGGTGTGATATTCTATTGAACTTCTCGAGACAATGAGTATCTCACCGGGAAAGCAAATTACGACTTCGATTTTTTGTAGCGTGTTTTTCATTGCTTGCTGAAACTCCTTGGTATTATCCGTAAGACCATAAAACGTAGTTTTAAAACGCTAAGTAACCGTAGAATACCAACATACGATACTAAAATTGCAAAAATTACTGACCAGATCGCATGTAAAAGTTGGCGAAAAGCAGTTTCTTAATTAAGCGTATTGAGCCGAGAATTCCTCGAAACTTCTACCTTGATGATTTGCGCTGCAACATCTAACTGCTCTAGAAAATACAGCACTTGATATTGATTTTTGTAGATCTGAGAGTCAAGGGTTTTGCGTCAATGGCTAGTTTGATAGTGCTGTCTTTTTTGAATGTAATAACTACCGGTGCTACAAAATGACCGCTCGTGCACTGATTCAGTCTTACAAAATGTCCTTCTTTGATAAGTTTTTTGATTCGCTGCCCAGTTTATCTTCAATGTGTTTGAGTACTATGCAACCATTCTCTTGCATTTGTACTATTGGGTATTTAAAAACCATTTTCACCCGTTGGTTCTTCGATCTACCTAGTCTGGTAAAGATTTTCTCGAACTTCTTCGTATAGTAGTTTCTCCAAAAATCAGAATGGTTCTGTGCGAGTCTTAAATTTTTCGAAAAAAAGGATCTTGATTGGATGGTTTGCATTTCCAAAGTAGTTTGTATTTGTTAGCCCTGTGGACTTTTCGTTCTGTTTTGCGAAGTAAAAAAATTGGCGGATTGAATATTCCAACCCAAAAGACGATACACTTAGATTGAAAGTGCCAAATAGTTTGATGATTCTCGTTTTGTAGTCTACATAGTGGGTGTCAATCGGCATCTCTGAGAGTGACTCTAAATTCACACTGGCGACGGATTTGACTTTAAATTCTGCAGTTTTTTTTGATATATGAAAAGCAACTGCCTGCATTTACTGTAGCCTTAATGGGTGTTTTTTAACCCAAAAAAAAATTGAATACACTTGGTTTTAGCTGTAGCTGATTTTTGAAAGTTTTCAGCTTTTTTATTGAAATTTTGGGTTTTTGGGAATGTGAGGTAGGTTCACTTGTTGGTGAAATGCTCAGCGTCTAAAGTTCTGGTTCACTAACGGTTGCAATAAAGTCACAATTTTCCTCCCCGTCCACATTTGAATCTCCGTCCACATTCAAAACTCCACATTCCTCTCCGTCAACATTCGAATCTCCAATCTAAGTTCTGTTCTCATTTCCAACATAAATTCTAGGATTGCAGCATTTGGCGAAGCAGCCCTTTTTGTTGCAGTTCTTCACAATAGGTTCTTGCCTGAAAATGTAGTTTGTGACTGAGAGTAATCTCCTTTCGGCAAAAACAACACGGTTCGAGTTCTCTTGGTATATTTTGGTTTTTTCAATTGTTGAATTTTCCTCTTGATTTTTAGGCTTGATTAGTCCTGTTTTGAATGTTGTGCTTTCGCTGAACTGCAAGGGTTGGTTCTTATTTGTTTCTAAACTTATTAGAAAAAATCTGGCCGGAATTAAAGTTTAGATTTGAGAGTGTGGAGGCAGTAACTTAACCTTTCTTTTGACGAAGGGCTGATTTAAAAGTTTTCCTAAGTGATTTTGCTGGTCGAATACAAAGATCACGCTGTATGTTTTTGAACCTCATTTTTGCGAAAAATTTATCGCGTACAGCCTCCTTCTCGTTGTCAATTGCCCAACTACATTGGGTGGCTTGGTCCAATAGTGTCAAGAAAAATATTTCCAAATTTTTGCGATCTGATTGGCAAGTTTTGTACAGATTTATGCTTTCGATAGTATAAGTATGGCTTTTGAATAGTTTAGTAGTACTCGAGTAGATATCTCGAAAACTGACCGTTGTAATATCTACATGAGCTTGGTTCTGAAACACTTTCTCTTACCTTCTGTTCTCAGCTAAATCAAAATCGAGATTGATTTTTTTGTTTGCTTCATGAAAGACCACAATTGGTCCGAAAATTGAGCCTTTTTCTTCTTTCACCGTTGACTTCGCTGGTTTTGCGGATCTTGGCTTGATCGCTTGCGATACGGTTAACTTATTCTGCTGGATTTTCGGCATCGCTTTTTCTTTCTGTTCGTGAGGTTGGGTTGTCAAAAACTTCTACCGGTTCACTTTGTAGAAAATTAGCGCAGCCTTAAACTTTAGAAAAATTGCCAAATCTACACTTCCTAGGGGAATAGAGGTTCCGTTTCTGGTCTAGGCCAAAAATCTGGGACCATACGAGATCAATTTGGTCTATGCCGACCAAAACTACTGGCAGCACCATGTGGGATAAGAACAGACTAATTAAAACTAATATGAAGTAAATTGAATTGATATGATTTAACAGGAATCAGAAACGCTGTTCTGCAATGCTGCATCAAAAACAAAAAGAGTAATTTTTACACTCACACAGGAAAACTAACTCCGTCGACAGGTACCGACCTTGACAAACAAATCAACTCTCATAGGCAATTTTTCCTTAAGAAAAAAGCAAAACAAAACAAGACTTTAGTGAGCTGTGATTTGCTTAAAGATATCCAAATAAACACAGTGTAAAAATAGAGCTTTGAAGGATAACAAAGTCGGGAAATCAATCCAAAGACTTTTAAGTTTCGCAGGCGCGTGTTTTATCTCTAGACCAGCTGAGGTGGGACCTGGAAGCTCTCGAAGATCCATATTGAATTAGGTTTTTTATTTGGAAAGTTTCTAAAAAAAAAGTCAAAGGAAAGGAAAAAAATCGAAGTGCCGATGCCGATAACGAGTACAATTGCTCTAGCAAAACGGACTTAAGCACTTCAGTGAAACATATTGAAAACAAAACGCCAATTTTTTGGGAAAAAAAAACAATTGTCATCGGAACTTTGCGTGCTGGACACAACGAAAAGCTGTTATTGTTTATTGCTACATCGTCCGTTCTTGCTTTATTTACTAGCCGATGGAATTAGTTCAAAGCCTTCTTGGTCTCAAACAAAAGCTTTTTAAACTTAAGTCATTGGAGAAAAATTTAATGGTTTCCATGTAAAAAACTTGCTCATTACTTAGGCGTTTAGTTTAAGTGCAACTGAAATGTTTCAGATATCTGGGGTAAAATAAAAATTACGAAACACTTCCTTTTTAGCTGGTACTCACAAACTAGATCATTACTTTCGATTGGATGATTTTTTTTTCGATTGTTGAATCTTCCTTTTGAGTTTTTGGCTCAATTAGTTCTGTTTCAAATGTTGTTTTTTCGCTGAACCGAAAGGGTTGGTTCTTGTTTGATTATGATCTTTTTAAAACGAATCCGGCCTGAGTTAGAATTTTAAATTGAGGGTCCTCAGTGGCCCATTTGTTTTGGCCCATTTGTTTTGTGTTGGGACTGTTTTGTTATGATGAAGGGCTGATGTGAGAGTTTCCTTTGGCGATTTTCCTGGTCGAATACGAAGATCACGCTGTATATTTTTGCATCTCGTTTTAGCGAAAAATATATATAGCATACACCTTCCTTCTCGTTGTCATCTGCGCAAGCACATTGAATGGCTTGGCCCGATAGTCTCAAAAGACTGTTTCCAAACTTTCACAATCTGCTTGGTAACTGTTGTACAGACATATTCTTTCAAAATAATAAGTTTTATCATTTTTGAATAGAGTTTTGCAGTAGTTGCAGAAATCTCGGAAATTGATTGTTGCATTATGTACATGAACATGGCTCTGAAAAGTTTTTCTGACCTTCTGTTTCCAGCGAAAATCATTCGCGATATGATCTTTGGGTCCGCCTCAAGAAAGAATAAATTTGGTCCAATTTTGGGCCTCTTTCTTTCCCCGTTGACTGTGTTGGTTTTGCAGATCTCGATTTGATCGTTTGCGATACGACTAGCTTATTCTGCTGGAGTTTTTGTATTACCATTTTTTTTCTGGTCGTGAGGATGTGTTGTCAGAAACTTCTGCTGAACCACTTTGTAGAATATTGCCGTTGCAGTGTTTTTTAAGATTGACGCCTCAGAAATCTTGCCCAATCCACAATTTCCAGCGGAATAAAGGTTCCGCTGTTCGTTTAGGCCAAAACGCTGGCACCTCTACAACATCAATTTGATCCTCGTCGACCGAAACTGCAGGCAGTGCCATGTAGCTTAAGAACCGAAAAAGTCTCTTAATCTAACTAAGACTAATATGATGTAAATTGAATTGATATGAATTAACAAGACTCAGATAAGCTGTTCTGCAATCTTGCATCAGAAACAAAGAGATTGATTTTCACACTCTTGAAGAAAAGCAAAGTACCTCGAGAGGTACCGACACTGACAAACTATTGAACTAAACAATACTCATAGACTAAACTTTAACCTTCAAACATAGCACATAATATTAGCACTTAAGGGCGGTTCTCCTGCCGTTCCACAAAAACCTCTTTGATTTTTATGGAGAATCTCAGAAACCTCAGGTATTAAATTAATTTTTTCGGCTTATTTTAACAGAAAGTTAAGCGTCTCGAAAACATCATTTGAAACTTAATGAAAAACGCGTGTTTTACCTCTAAACCAATTGAGAAGTTGAGAAGTGACCTGAAAGATGTCGAGGATACATATAAAAGCAAGTTTTTTATCTGAAAAGTTTCGTAGCGAAGTGAAAAAAAAACTTTTTTACAAGAAAAAAATTCTAAGTGCCGATGCCGGTTACAAGTACATTTGCTCTAGCAAGTGAAAACAAAACGCCAATTTTTGAAAAAAAAATAATTGTTGTCGGAACTTTGCGTCCTGGGTATAGCGAAAAGCTGTTATAACGACCTTTGTTGCATCATTTAGAAGCCATAGGCAAAATTTCAAAGTCACATTGATCACAAACAAAAGCTTTTTTAAGCTTAATTCATCGGAACAAAATTGTTATGGTTTCCTTGTAAGAAATACGCTCATGAATGAGGCGTGTAATTTATATGCAACTGAAATGTTTCAGTTAGCTGGGTAAAAGATAAAATACGTAGCACTCCCCATGTAGCTGCTACTCTGGCTCACGAACTGGGTCATAACTTTGGACTGAACCACAACCCGACTAATAATAGTGACCCCTGTTATTGCACTAACGAAGACTTGTGTCTATTGCAAACATACATAAGTAATTTGCCACCAAAGAAGTTCTCAAACTGTCAGCAGGCATCCTTGGAAAATTTCATGGAGCACGGTAGATGAAATAGATTTATTTTGTTGCAGATACTTCTGCTATACAAAACCATTTAGCAGAAGCAGCAATAAAATCTGAGGCGATTCGCGGGAGAGGGAGGTGGGATGAGGCTAGGGCGGGTTCTTCCATATCCCCCAGAAATTCGACCCCCTGAACACATATACAAGAAAAAATGGATGTATTTTAATTTTTGCTATTGTTCTCCACGCAAAATCAGGTGCCACAAATGGATATCGGAATGGGTCGAGCGATATATCATATTAAAGACCTTTCAGTCGTCAAAATTTTCAAAAAATTGGTTTTAAAATTGAAATTTTTGTCTACTTTTGTTTGGTCGAATGAATAGACTATGTTCTGAGCTCTTGCAAATCACTATGAAGACCCTATTTCTACCAAATTTTCTATGCCTCAAACAAATTTCTGAAAAAAAAACGTGCCAAAAAAGGCGTTTTTACGCAATTTTTGGAAAATGTTCACCAATTTTGACCGTTTTTTAGCACGCGCTCTGCCCGCAAATTTAATATATATTGGCGCTCAAGGCGCCTTAAGAAAAATTGGATATCACAAAATATTATCAAGGGGTATCCCTTTGGATAGGCAGGGGATCGAATCCCTTGGTAGGGGCTACCTTCTGGCTTATTTATGCTTAGTTTATCCGGTAAACTGCTAATTTTACTCAAGTACAGTTATTAATTCGAATTTTTGTTATTATGTTCTACAAAAACTGTTGTCCAACTTGCCTATTCTACGGTTGCCTAATATGCCTAAATTCTAACTTTTTGTTCAGATTTCTTTATCAAATCACGCAGAAAATGTTTTTTTTTACGACTATGGTTGCACAGTAACCGGCTATCTTGTTTTTTCTTTCGAATTTTTTCCTGTTGTGTGCGGGTTGGAAGAAAGGAGCGCGAAAAATAAGGTTGAAAAAATTTCATGGATGCAGTTGACTACATCTATATCTTCAAAGTTTACAAAAAAAAGAAAACATTTAAAAAAAACTTTCGTTTTGGGAAAGCGCTTATTGAAGCTTATTTATACCTTAACAAAAAACTTCATTTGCTCTATAACTGGACGAGAAAATTTATTAATTTTTTTTATCGGTAATCCAATAGGGCAGGTTGAAATTAGTTATAACAAAATCAAGTAATTTTAAAAATCAACCAATTTGAGCAGACAACTCTATGTGTCTGCACAATGAGCCCACGAAGCATATAGAAAAGGGTTACTGTGGTGACTACATCGTGAATGGGGAGGATGGGGAGGAGTGTGATTGTGGGAATGAGGCCACCTGTGATGACCCTTGCTGCCATGCCAGCAACTGCAGCCTAGTCACAGGTGGGATGACTAATCCATCTTCAAATCAAAACCATTCCCACCTGACACAAACTAACAAAAACTTTCCAGCCCACTAACATCTAAGCGCCCAAAAATAGTGCCCGAAATAGATATTCTCAATTCTAATTAAATCTGATTGTACGGAAGACCCAAATTTGACCAAATAAAAATCTTCCAGACACAAATTGCTGACAGAGTAACACGCTCGGCCTTTTATGCAAAGGTCGTGGGTTCTAATCCCGCTTCGATAACGGTTATAGAGGGGTCCCGCAGTGTTATCTTCCTCCTCAAGGTGGTACCGGCTACGACGAAATTGATGAAATCTCTCTCCCTCACGGAAGAAAGGCCAAAGTTAGGTGGACGTATGGCGTAGAGCTAATAGAAAAACAGTGTCAAGGGGGTCTTTACCTGGCTTATAAGTGATTATTACCGAGTATCATCAATTTCAAAAAGTTGATTTCCAATCTGTTCAAAACAAATTCAATTATCTGCTCAGTGTTTGACTTCATATATAGATGCCGCCTGTTCTGCGATGGATCTGTGTTGTGACCCCGACACATGTCAAGTCCGCAGTTCTGACTTCATCTGTCGGGAAAAGGGCAACGACTGTGATATAGCCGAACAGTGTAATGGGAAAAATGCCGAGTGTCCGAATAACGACTACAACAGAGCGGGCTCAGAGTGCACTGCAGATGGAGCACAAGGACACTGCTAAAACGGAGTTTGTCGATCTGTTCATTCCCAATGCCCAATGTCTTCAGTAAGTTCACATAAAAATAACTCAATTAGAAATGACGAATTAGTAAAATCATGCAAAATATGGTTTACTTTTTGATAGTACAATCCATCCTCTCCGAAATCATTTACATTACATAACTAATATGAAAAACAGAGTTCAAGTAACAGTATATTCTCAAGTTCCGTTGAAGACTAATTTGTAGTAAAATATCAAGCTTCGTGCTAGATTTGTTTCAAAAAACAACGAAAAAGACGCAATTCAAGGTTTAAACATTATTCAATCATTCAGAAGCGTCGAAATTTATAATGAAACATGGCGACTTCCCATTTCAAAAAAGGTTTTCTATACAGCGACTGGAAAAAGGTTAAGTTTTTTACGTTAAGAATATTCGAGCCCAATGAGGGTATGCGAAATGACTCTGCTGACACGAGATGCTGGATTAAAAACATATGGGCAAACTTTTGGGGAAACTGCGGCTCTGATTATCACAAAGATTACACTCCCTGCTCCAAAGCCAACCAAAAGTAAGTAAACTCTAGCCACTATCGCCCCTTAATGAGCTCTCCGTGGTCATATTTGCGTCTAAATAGTTTCAATTACACTGTTTTCAACAGTTTTAGCTCTCATAAAACATGCACACACAATTTGCCAAACTGCCAAAAATATGTTTTTCAAGATTTTTCCAGGAAAAACCTGATCGCAAAATGGCCTTTGACTGCGCAATAACCCCTCCTGTATTAATTATAAACGAGCGCAGAAAACATATTTAGATAAACTTTAAGTTTTAGTGTCATGAGGTCAAAATCTGGTACAAAAATGAAACAGCGGACTTTCTTAGGAGAAAGGCGGGAGTTCGAATTGGCGAGGCGAGGGAAAGTCGCAGCAGCCCGCTATTGTTTTTCTAAGTCTGCATTTGGGTTTAAAAAAATGATTCAATCAGGTGTGGAAAACTGCAATGCGCATTCGATAAAGAAATCAAACAACCCAAAACGAGGAGATGGGTGAGGAAAAACAGCGCCATGAACTATCTACAGCAACTCAAGTGCTCCACAATTGTTTCTCTATTCGAATCCATAGATGTTATGGACGATCTTGCCTATGTCCAAAATGGTATATGGTGTGCAGAGATAGTTTCTGCCACGAAAAAAAATGCATGCACATTTCCGAGATACCAGAACTTACTACGTGCCCGCAGTTAGTACCAATCTGAAATTATTCAACCTGATAGCAGCACTCTCAGCTTATCAGAGATAATTAAAGTATCTAAGCCTGAGGAGGGCTGTAAACTTTTGATAGTTTCGTTTAATCTTCGGTGATATAGAAATATGAGAAAAGGGTAATTTGAAAAAGCATGAATCACAGACAGGTAAACAATAAACCGCATGTACAAATCAAACCCACCAAGGATCATGCAAAAAGCTATGCAGCTTATCGAGAGCTGACCCTGAAAAACCTATGACAGAAGTTGCGAGATAATATCCGACTTGATGATTCAAAAAAATAAATCTATAAGATCTCCATTATCTTTAAGAAACAATGAAAACAAGTTTTTAAAATAACCATTTAGTTGATGCTCAGTTAATTCGTTTAGATTATTTGGTATCAGCTCGCTTGATTTCAAAAAATTATAACATTTAAAAGACACATTTTTCCATGAACACTGCATTATTTGTGTTCTAGTTTTTATGCTTGGTAAAGTTTTTGCCACAGAGGCCCGAGTAACCCGACGATTATTTACAGATTCCAAATTAAAAGTTTCAAGGGGAGTTTTACCACGAAGTTGATTAAAAGTTTCTTTGAATATTTGTCTGAAATATAAGTCAAAATCGGTTTCAATCTCAAACGAACGTAGGATATATGAGGCATGATCAAATTTTCTCTTGAAACAAATAGTTTTAAAAATACGTTTTTGCATCAGAAATATTTTTTCTAATAGACTTTTTGATGAGGCACCAAATGCAATTAAACCGTACGAAATGATTGGCTTTGCATAGCAAGTATAAAATTTAACCAACACGTTTTTCGAGAAATAGTTTCTACCCTTGAATAGTAAACCGTTAAATTTAGCTAATTTACCTCAAACATTATTAAATGACTTTCAAATTTGAGCCTGTTGTCTATTTGAATTCCTAAATACCTAAAATCAGAAAACTCGGTGAGTACATTAATTACAAAAGAAAATTTTTCATTCAAGTTATCCCGTCCAAACTTCATTATTTTGCACTTCTTTTGATTTATGAGCAGTTTGTTATTGATGCACCAATTACAAATTTTATTTAATTTTGTCTGGAATTTCGTATTGGATGCAAATTTTTGAGCATCAACTACCCTTGTATCATCTGCAAATAATGTTAATTTAACGTTGCTGGCCGACGGCATATCATTTATGTATAAAAAGAACAGAAATGGCCCCAAAACTGAACCTTGAGGAACACCTTTTGTACATTCTCGCATACTCGGGACGTTTTAATTCGAATAAACATATTGATTTCGGTCTGTAAGATAGTTTGTAATTAACTTGTGAGTTTTCCCTCTGAACCCATTTTGAAAAATTTTGTCGAGCAAAATTTTCCGATCAACTGTATCAAATGCTTTTTTTAAATCAATAAAGCAGGAGTAACCAAATTTTTTATTATCAATTGATTCGCGAAAAAAAATCAGTAATGGGCAAAATGGCATGAGTACAGGAAATATTACTTCGAAAACCAAACTGGTGCTTATCAATCAAGCTGTTTTAAGTGGCAAAATCGGATATGCGCTTGAAAATTATTTTTTGAAAAAGTTTACTTATACAAGACAACAAACTAATTGGACTGTAGTTATCGGGTTCAGTTTTGTCGCCATTTGTATGCAATGGTAAAATTTTTCCAACTATGAGAAAATTAGGAAAACGCTCTTTTTTGAAGCAGATATTGAAAAAATGCGCTTAATGGTCAGCCAGCACCGGAGCAGCAAATTTTACCATTTTACTACAAATCCCATCATGACCAGTAGAATTTTTATTGTTCAAGTTTTTAATTTCCTTTAGTATCTCATATCGACTGGTATCATATATAACGAACGTCTTTTTTTTAACTGGAAAATTTGATCTATTAACGGATTCAAAATGAATTATAATGCATTTTGTTTTTTGCAAGAATAAATGGATTTAAATCCATTTTAGTCCAATTTTGTTGTCTGAACGTAACATGGGAATCGATTATATTGAAAACATTATAGACCTATTAATTACTGACTAAACAGTCCAACCGTTTGATTGATAACGTCTTTTAAATTCATGATCTAGCTTGGTGCCTAAGTTTTTTCATACTTGCTGATGCATGAAAAATTTAGACTCAAATTTGATTAGATTGTCTTTTGGGGTAAAAAAATAATACGACGTTTGGTACGATGTTCTGTAATCAAATTCCTTATTGTTTTTGAGTCATTTCCTGGTGACTTATGCCAGCACTATGCAATTTTGCACAAAATTAATCTCATTGTGGTCGTTACACTTCAACTTTTATCTGATTAGTAGAGAACAAAATTAAAAGAATTGTTTGTACTGCATGATTATTAGTTGTCATATTTAAAACAAGAGTAATGAACCTGATTACTGCTGCATTTAAGAAAAGTGAAAACAAATTGATTATAATGGATTTTCATGGACTAAAATGTTGTAAATATAATCGATTCCCATGTTACGTTCAGACAACAAAATTGGACTAAAAATCGATTTAAACCCATTTTTTCTCGCCAAAACAAAGGGCATTATAATTCATTTCGAATCCAGTATAATGGATTTTATAAAAATAAGGAAATCACATTAAAATGGATTTTTTTACACTTTATTTTTGTTTCGCGCGTCCAGCAAAATTTTGTAAGAATTTCAGCATTTATCAAGTGAGTGATGCGGAAACTGTGCAAAGCGAGTGTACGGCCTAATCCATATCAAAATCTGAACTCAAATTGCAAAAAGATTCTGTTAAGCTTGCCCCAAAAACACCCCCACCTGAGCCCACCCACTCCACCACCTAAGCCTAATGTTGAGCAAAATAAAAAAGTTACAAAAATATCAAAGTTAAAAAAAAAATTAAATTGAACAACAAGTAACCAACGTAACCAACTTTAGTTTAAAGCGTAGAAAAAACTTTATGTGCGTTGAAATTTGAATCTCAGTAAAGTGGAAAAAAAATTGGAAAGTGGACAGTGGAAAGAAAATACTTTTATTGTCACTGTCCACAAAATTGAAAAAAAAAATTGATTATAATGGTTGAAAAAAGGATTTTGTTGCCTCCAAAAATAGTAGTATTAAAACCCATTTTAATTGTTATAATCGACTTGTTTTCACTTTTGAGAACACTGACAAAAAAACTCAATTGTATTAATTTTATTCATGGAACTCCAATGCAGGTGTTTTATGTACCCGCATTTAAGAAAAAAGAAAACAAATCGATTATAATGGATTTTAGTGGTCTAAAGTGTTGTAAATATAATCGATTCCCATGTTACATTCAGACAACAAAATTGAATTTAAAATGGATTTAAACCCATTTTTTCTCGCCAAAACAAAATGCATTATAATTAATTTCGAATCCATCATAACGGATTTTAAAATAATTAGGAAATTACATTAAAATGGATTTTTTTTTCACTAAAGTTTTGTTTCGCGCGTCGAGCAAAATTTTGCAAAGAATTTCAGCGTTTATCAAGTGAGTGATGCGGAAACTTTGCAAAGCGAGTGTACGGCCTGGCCTACTCTATTTCAAAATCTAAACTCAAATTGCAAAAAGATTCAGTTGAGCTCCCCACCCAACGTTTGCCCCTTTGCTCCCCTTCAACCCCCCCAAACGTTTGCCCCTTTGCCCCTCCCCCACTGAACCCCCCACCTGAACACCCCCACCTGAACACCCCCCTGAACAACCCCCCACCCCACCTGAACACCCCCTGCCTGAACAACCCCCCCACGCTTGAACACGTTACGTTGGGGGCGGGAT